TTTAGATTTCAGCATTAAATAACCCACAGAGGTGTTGATATGCCACCAAACAATATCAACCAACCAAATAACCAACATGAAAGAACTCTTTCATATATATCCTACAATTTCTTAATCAAACTGTATTTCAAAATATAACTTCAACAAAACTATAGCATAAAACGCACATATCACTGCCTCTAGTGATAATGCCCACACAAATATGTATATGTAAAAGAGCTAAGTATCATCTACCATGTATTCAATTGTGAAAGCAGAATAACATATATTGTATTTTTATTACTTCAAAGCTCCCAAGAAAATTAAACTTCGGCATAAAACTTATTAAAAATTTTATAAACATTTTTAGAACATTATAAAAATATGCGAACCAACTACAAAGCAATATTTATTATTTTTAAAGGTGTTGATGTGCTTTTAAACAAATCAAATAAAAAAAAGTTATTTACCATTACATACCGCCTACTGTGTTGTGATTTTTGAGGCAGTGGCCTCACTCATTAGTATTCAGTTTTTTGTTTTCTCCCATCAACCTCCCTCCCTTCTCTGTTCCCCACCTTAATTGTTAAGAGAACAATCTGTTACCTTTTAAGTGTTTGCCTCCAACCTCAACAAACTCTTGTCTTATTTTCCTCGAAAAGATTATAAAAATATGTGAATTTTTGAAATGATTGAAAATTTTTTGCTAAACATTCCAAAGTATACAATTTACCATCAATTGTTTTGGTCAAGGTGTTTAGTGTCCATTCTTGATTTACGATTCCTTCACCATGTGGCTGACAATAAATAATCTAGCTGTAGATTTTCTAGGTACAATTCAGATAAATTTTTAGAAAAATTAGCAACAATTTAAAACAAATTCAAAAAAGTAGGAAAAAGGACTAACCTATAATTGTCAGAGTTTCAGACCATAGATTTTTCTATTGATTAGGCATACTTGATTTTTCTCTTCATTAGGCATACTTGATTTTTCTAGTGACTAGGCACACTTGATTTTTCTAGTGATTAGGCACACTTGATTTTTCTATTGACTAGGCACACTTGATTTTTCTATTGACTAGGCATACTTGATTTTTCTATTGACTAGGCATACTTGATTTTTCTATTGACTAGGCATACTTGATTTTTCTATTAATTAGGCACACTTGATTTTTCTATTGATTAGGTATACTTGATTTTTCTAGTGATTAGGCATACATGATTTTTCTAGTGATTAGGCATACTTGAATTTTCTATTGATTAGGCATACTTGATTTTTATATTGATTAGGCACACTTGACTTTTCTATTGACTAGGCATACTTGATTTTTCTATTGACTTGGCACACTTGTTTTTCTATTGACTAGGCACACTTGATTTTTCTATTGATTAGGTATACTTGATTTTTCTATTGACTAGGCACACTTGATTTTTCTATTGATTAGGTATACTTGATTTTTCTATTGATTAGGCATACTTGATTTTTCTATTGATTAGGCATACTTGATTTTTCTATTGACTTGGCATACTTGATTTTTCTATTGACTTGGCATACTTGATTTTTCTATTGATTAGGCATACTTGATTTTTCTATTGATTAGGCATACTTGATTTTTCTAGTGATTAGGTATACTTGATTTTTCTAGTGATTAGGCATACTTGATTTTTCTATTGACTAGGCACACTTGATTTTTCTATTGATTAGGTATACTTGATTTTTCTATTGACTAGGCACACTTGATTTTTCTATTGACTTGGCATACTTGATTTTTCTATTGGTTAGGAATACTTGATTTTTCTAGTGATTAGATATACTTGATTTTTCTAGTGATTAGGCACACTTGATTTTTCTAGTGATTAGGCATACTCGATTTTTCTAGTGATTAGGCATACTTGATTTTTCTAGTCATTACGTATACTTGATTTTTCTAGTGATTAGGCATACTTGATTTTTCTATTGATTAGGCACACTTGATCCCTGATCATGATTATAAAAAATGGAAAATAAGTATTCTGAGATACAAAATAATCCAAGAAGAAAATGTATAATATTTGAAAAAGTCATGCCTATTTAAATTTTCTTGTTCTGTACTTTCCATACATTTTATTAATTTATGAATAAAAAACTGTTATATTCTGTGCTAATAGGAATATATACTTGATAAACAAGGTGGATAAAATAAGTAAAGGTTTATTGTAAAAAACCAGTACAATAAGAATAAAGGTAACAGTTATGCACAAGTTATGCAAGTCAATCCAGTAGCGAGTGCTACTATTAGAAGGTTGGTAGTTCTCACGTAAATCTGAGTCCTACTCAACAGATCCCAGCTAGTTGGTATTTACTAGCACCACCCCCACCCATGAGGGTAGATGTGGCACAAGGCCGGTTTTAACGTGGGTCTTCTGAGCCTGTAGGCTTGGCCAAAAAATCCCAAAGAACCCGCATAAACAAGATCGGGTTGGTCAACCTCCCCAAATGAGACTCTACCCTTCGGCAGAGCCTCGTCTGGGTTCCTCTTTGCCCAAAGGCAAAGAGTCCAACAACAGCTAAGAGCTGAGTAACAGATATCAGCTAGTCAGTATTTACCAAACCCCCCACCCACGAGGGTAGATGTGGCACAAGGCTGAGTTTAATTTGGGTCTTCTGAGCCTATAGGTTTGGCCAAAAAATGCCCGTAGAATCCGTATAAATGGGATCGGGTTGGTCAACCTTCCCGAATGAGACTCTGCTCTTTGGCTGAGCCTTGTCCGGGTTCCTCTCTGCTCAGAGGCAGAGAGTTCGACCGTCTAGCCGAAAAGATTTCAGCTAGCATTTGTAGTCCGTTGACTTACAGATACTTATAGGTAGTTACTACCTATAGTGTAGTCACTTATGGGGGTGACGTGTTATTCCATTACATCAAAAATTGTTTTCATATTTATTTCTTTATAAAATGGTAAATAATAAATATTACATTGTAGTTGATTCGCATATCTTTATGTTCTTGTAATGGGTTGAATGGCCTCGAATCAATTCATACTATTTTTACTTTATGTTGTAGCATACGTACAGACAATAAACACAGTAGTGAATACTGTATGTTGGTCAGCAGTTGGAGATTCATCTCCAGCTGTGCCGGTCAAAATCTCTGACTCAGGGCAGAGAGGATCCCCAGACGCAGCTATGTCAAAGGGCAGAGTTTCATCTCGGGAAACAGCTAACTGACCCTATTTTATACAGGGTCTACAGTGAATTTTGTGGCAAACCTATGGGCTCGAATACCCCATATTAAATTCATCCTTGTGTCACACCTGACTGCATGGGGCAGCTGGTAGATACCGTCTACAAGTCTGCAGTTGGAGATTCATTGTGGAATTCACTTGACTCACTTCTAGCAGTTGACTACTTCTTCGATGCGCTGCTGGTGAATCATATATGTGTTGTTCTTGTTCTAAGTATTATCATTTATTACCAACTTTCATTTGATTATTCTAGGTTCCCTAGGTTACTACACTTTACAAATGTGCTAACAAGGAATAAGAAAACAAGAAGAATAATATTCAACAAGCAAAGTTGCACAAGGAAATGGAATTTATATATGCATAACAACAATCGTACAAAACAGGAATTCAGTTGTGTGCTGAAATTTACTTGTCCTTGGAATTTTTAGTGAGGAAAATGTTCTTGTTGATAAACTGTGAAGTGCATTAAAAAGTCTGTGAGTTTGGAGAATTTTAGTAAGATGTAGTGTTACTTGTAAGAGAATTAAAGTTTCTTTCTCACAATGTTTTGTTAAGCGTTTCTGTCCTTGTGGTTGAAGGAGTGAATGTTTGTAGATCTTTGTAGATGTTCGTAAATGTTCATACATACATGTGTGTGTATGTGTGTCTGTGTCATGATGATTCATAGCGTTTTCACCTAAGGGAGAAACGCAATTTCTCCACAGAGCTTACATCGCTTGTAAGGTGAGAGAAGACAAGAAGAAGGGTTAAAGATGTCACCGAGTAACTATTTACTTGTCAATCAGGTGACAGTCTCATAAACATGTTTAGTTCTATTCAGAAACTTTTTAGCGGTAAATTAATTTTGAACATTAACATTAATTTTGAATATTATAATTAGGTAGAAGTTAAATGCTAAATTCTAAAAATATTTATAAAAATTTTAATAAAAACATGTATTTTTATATTTATTTTGTTATAAAATGGTGAATAATAAATATTGTATTTTAGTTGGTTCAAATATAAAATTAACTTTGCAAATAAAACAATCTAACAACTAAACGGTGTGTAACATTTCCATTCTTATTAAAATTCTAAACCTGACGTTTTAAAACAAACATTACTGAGGAAGTTGAGGAAGTATACAGTAGTAGCAGTGTCAAGAGAAAAACTGCTCTTTTATTTTGCAGATAGGAACGTTTGCCAACTTTTTTATACCAAAGTTTACTCAGTACTAGACTCGAGAGCTACTAAAGGTAGAGCGTTACTGTTAAACTGGTTATGATGAATGAGGTGTATGATGTGAATGAAAGAGGAGTTGATAGGATGGGAAGATAAGGATAAGGAGGATAGATATCAAGTGACCCTTGACACGAAAAGGTTAAGATTGTAGTGTTCCATGAAGCATCCACATGAGAGTTTGATCCACACAGTGGCAGTTCTACAAAAAAAGCATTCAGTGTGAAACTTTCTCATTACATTTGAAATACAGGGGAAATGAGGATGATTTGAATCCATGGAAATAGTATGACATGCCCTAGCTGTAAAGGTCTGAACTGGTTGAATTAAAGAATGGAGTTCATTTGAACATTTGCCAAAGATTGAGTGATTGTTTTTACAGCTTATAAACTTTTTACAGGTTATGTAAAACCAGAAAATATTTCTAGATTGTCAGAATTTTTTTTTGGTCTGATAATAATGCTTTACAGATACAAGTTTTACTAATTAATCCATAGCTAGGGGAGAAGTGGTGGATTCATACCTCTCCTAAGGGTATTTGTGCATACATGAATATAATGACCCTAGCAGGAATCGAAACTCAGCATCTGATATTCCCAAGCGGTCATCCATCTAAGTACTGGCCAGGCTTGACATTGCTTAACTTCAGTGATCGTATGAGAATTGGTGTTTCAACCTGAAATAATATAAGCCAAAAAGCTTTCAGAGTGGAACTTTCTCCTTAAATTTGAAGTACAGGGGAAATGAGGATGATTTGAATCTGTAGAAGTAGCATTGCATGTTCTAGATTTATAGCTCATTTTTTATTGATTGATTTGTCTTTGATGGCCTGTCGACCTTTTAACAGGTTATTTAAAGCCATAAAATATTTTAAATTGTAAGAATTTTTTGGAGATAATAATGATTTATTGATACAAGACTTTCTAAATTAACCCATAGCTGAGTGAAGAAATGGTGGATTTAAACCATTCTATGACTATTTGTGAATAAGTGAATATAACAAACCCTACAGGAATTGGAACAGCTCCTGGTATTCCCAAGTGGTCACCCATCTAGGTAATAGCCAGGCATGGCATTGCTTAAATTCCATGATATTAAGAGATCTGGAGTTTCAACCTGATTATGCTTTAAGCCAAAAAGTTGAGTGGAACTTTCCCCTTACATTTGGAATACAGAGGAACTAACTAATGGACTCTGTCTAGAAGTGTCATATTTTATTGTGGAAAGAGATTGCTGCAAATTGAATTCTGATGTCTGCTTATCAGTTTCCACTGTTTGTTAAAATAGATATAAATTTCACAGACTTTCCCTAATATGTTGTATGATACTGTAGGGATACAAAAGTGATTTCATTTTACCCCAAACAAGGCAATAATGCCTCTAAGGTGCCAGGAGTTAGTGAAAGTGGAAAAGAATAAGAACAACTTCACCAAATTTGAAGTTTTAATTGCAAGAAAATAGCATAAAAATAGTCAATTATATAATATAAAGTCATAAAGGGGTTTTGTAATCATTGTTATATTTTGGTTTTATCATTTTACACAAATCTATATTCTTTATTATCTCTCTTTTATGTTTTTTTGTTATGAATTCTTTCTTTTTTTGTGATGAAATACTTTTTTCTACAGAGTTTGGTTAAATGTCCTTCTTATCAATGATTGATTCTCTAGGTGTTTTTTTTTTTTTGTTTGCTTCTACGCCGTTTTGATTTGTCGCGGTCGCCGATTAGCCGCTCCTTAGAAAGCCGACCTTGACCTTCACAACTCCCAATCTCGCAGATCTAGGTCAAGCAATATGCGAGAAACCGGACGGCTAGTCCAATATCGTTGATGCCAAACCATACCTAGTGTGCATCTGACTATGCCCTGTGAAGTCGTATTACTGTTCTGCCTTGGCCCTGTTTAGGGACTCTGTCTTCGCTATTCGACCGAACCAGCTACGTTCGCCGACCAACCCTAAACTACCGGGCCAGATCAACCCTAAACTACCGGGCCAGATCAACCCTAAACTACCGGACCAGATCAACTATATTCGGCCGAACCAGCTACGTTCGCCGACCAACCCTAAACTACCAGACCAGACCAGCTACATTCGACCGAACCAGCTACGTTCGCCAACCAACCCTAAACTACCGGACCAGACCAACTATATTCGACCGAACCAGCTACATTCGACCGAACCAGCTACGTTCGCCGATCAACCAGTCATACCGGACCCAACACCGATGTAAACGTGTTAATAAATTCGACACTTTTGTTCATAACAAAAACCTTTGCCTTTGTCCCGTCATTGTCTTGGCTGTTCACATTTATCTTCATAAACCTTGCGGGGGCGACATCCTACTCAGCCCCGCAACAGATTAAATACCCTAATTGTTAATAACAGATTCGCTAGGTTTTTTTTTACACAGTTTTGGTTAAAAGATCTTCTTAACCTTTTGGGCCCTGACCACTGCTTTACCAGTGGTAGAGAAAAATGATGTAATGCTCAGTCACCGGTTGAACAGTGGGTAAACACTTGTAACTATTTTTATATCTACCGTGAAACATTACATACCAATTATTTGCGAATTTTGACTCGGGAGTTCAGGCAGAAGGGTTAAAATTGTTCAGGAATGCAGACCTTAAAGGGTTAATAACTGATTCACTAGGTATATTTGTCTTCCCTTCTTGTCAATAATTGATTCGCTAGATTTTTTCTACATAGTTTTGGTTAAAAGATCTTCTTAATAACTGATTCTCTCGGTGTTTTTTGTTTTGCTTTTTCTACACAGTTTTGATTAAATGCCCATCCTGTTGTTGGCAATGTGCAGAATTAATTAATTGTAATTGAGTGAATCAGAAGGAATTTGTGTAGGTTGCGTGACTTCCTGCATCCACAAACAAATAAATAAACAAATTTTAAATACAATCAAAAACAAGACATATTCAATTTAGAAACCAACAAAACATTTATATGCAATTAAAAGTAATATATATACAGGATATTTTGGTACATGTTACTACGGCAAAGTGTGTGTGATATTTGAGGTTTCGGTATGTCTCTTTTTGTATTTGTATGTTCAGTTACAGTCTTTCTGGAATTGTGTTAATTAATATTAAAAATGTTGATGTTAAGTGTTTTTAGGAATGAGTTCTTATAGAGTGGTCTACCTTTGACTGTAATATTTCTGAATCGTTCGAATGTTGATTTTTACTTAATAATGTAATGAGTATAGTTCACTTTGGATAAGCAAAGTTGTTTTTAGGTTTGCGATTTGATGTCCACAGAGTTGGTCGAGTTTAAATTGCAAGTGAGTCAGCGTTGATGTACTTTTGCGCGGTAAAGTTGTGATTTCGAGTGACATGGAGTATGTTGGCAATTTCTCTGTGGATGTTCGTCTCTGACTGCTTTTGGTCAGTCAGTATTTTCTTTTATATGTTTTGGAAAGTCCAAAATCGGCTCAAAGAAGTTTTGGTGCAATTTTGTTTTTGCACATGAAACTTTCAGATTATTGTGTCATTAACCAATGAGATTTGTTGATTCGCCTAGTACGGTTTTTTATTGGTTGAAGTTTTCCGTACGTAGGCATAAGGTATAGACTGTTCTGTTATTAGGAGTGATAAGTAGGAAAGGACAAGTCTACACTGTCAATAACTGATTCGCTTGGTGTTTTTTGTTTTGCTTTTTCTACACAGTTTTGATTAAATACACTTTTTGTCAATAACATTCACTAGGTGTTTGTTTTTTTTTTTTTGTTTTTTTTCCAGTTTTTGTAAAATTCGTCGATTATCAATAACTGATTCTATAGATTTTTTTTTTTCTCTCTTAATGAAAAAATGTGAGATATCAACCTACACATGCCGAGATTTGCTTCTGTCCTTGGTGCTTTATCAAAGGATTTTTAGGTCAGTGAGATTATTGCAAATTTGATAAGAAAAGCCAAACTGGTTTGTTGAGGGCCTTGAATATCCAGCTTTATTTGCAGTTACATATAAAAACCAGTATCCATTACTCTGTAACACAAAAAAAATGTCACATTATATTTTTAGCTGATATCTAAGGGTGAAGTCCAAATATGTCTTTCATATTTTGCAAACATAATCCAAACATATATCTACATAAATTGGTACAAATTATACATTTCTTATCTCAACTTTGTAGATAGCAAATACATTACATTTTCTGTCATCAATCACAGGCTATTTTGTAAAAATTTAAAATCTAATTTTTTTTAATTCATTTAACCTCAAACAAATTTCTAAAACCACAATGACATATTGCTTGTCTGAAAGAAGACCTTGCAAGGTGAGATACTTAACTAATTATAATATTATAGCATTATAAAAATAATGTTATAATTTAAATAAAAATAAATGTACCACATAGATATAATATAATCCAGATATTTCGCTGGAGTTGTACAAATGGCTCTGCAAGATTTTTTCCCATATTACTATAGATTGTCGTATCCTATCAGTACCACCATATTATTTTTTTTTTAAACAACTGGAAGGAAAAGCTTCACCAGTGTTGTTGTACGATTGATTCAGTATATAAAAAGGCCTGAAAACAAAACAAAACAAAAAGAAAAGCACACTTCTGTATCTCAGGTGACTAGGATCAAAGTGTAATATCTGTTTCAACAACTAGTCCATGGCTCCATTCATCAGCAGCAGTTCCAGCCAGCCATCCTCGTCAGCAGCAACAATATTAAATAAACTGTCCTTTTCAGAACAAAGCTCTTCAGCGACTACTAGACTGTCATTTTCAGGACAACACACTTCTCACCCTCTACAACAGCACTTCTCAACCTTTTTACTCTTGCGTAACACTTAAAATAGACTACATGTCTCAAGCAACCCCGGTGCAAAAACAAAATTATATACCATGTCTTTCTCATTTTATTTTCGTTGTAGTTCAAGTGGTAAATATCATAGTCTATATTACAGTATTATAATAACCAAGAATATATTGTGTTATTTAGTAATCTGGACATTGAGGTAGTAAGGTAATTTAATTTGATTTATGGTCCCCACTTATCCTTAAATATCCCAAGGCATTTTTTCTTGCATACAGTTTTGTTTTTCTTTCATTCTAACCCAGCATATCTCAACCTTTTTACTCTTGCGTAACCCTTAAAATAAATTACGTCTCAAGGAACCTCTCCACAAAAACAAAATTATATGCCATATCTTTCTCATTTTATTTTCATTGTAATTCATGTGATATCATAGTATATATTTTTGAATAACTGGTTTAAGGAAAAATTAATACTTCTTTGTCAAATTTTTCAGTAATGCTAAATAAAATTCATACTGTTCGTTTATAACACTTCATAAGGTAGTTTTCATTCACACAAAAAATTCTAAACTCAAACGTAAAATATAAACGTAAGTAACCAATATCATATACCCATAATATAAATGTAAACAGTAATATTACATATATGAAATTAAATAAAAAATCAAAAGTGCATTAGCTTATCTCACCTGTTCTTGCAGCACTCTTGTGGAACCTTTTGCAAAACCTCAGGGTTCTGGGGAACCACAGTTGCAAAACGCTGCTCTACAGGAACGTGTAGAGATATTTTTGCCTGTGCACTATAACCTTATTTTTGTTGATGTATTTTCTTTACCAAAAGATAAATTTGGCAATATATATTTTTACTCAAGTCTTTGTTTGTTGTTGTCATCA